AATGCCTAGTGGAAAAGTACACCCACTAATCACGAGTTGAAGAGCAAGATCACAAGAAACTTAATCTGCATTCTAGTGGAGCACCCATATAGCAATCATTAATCTTGATGTTGTACGGAGATTAACCATATAAAGACCAATATGCACCATCAATATAATAGTGGAAACTTATTTCTTAATTCTTGTTCTTTCTTAAACTCAAGCCCTTTCTGTTAAAAACAACTTAACAACCAATCATCGAAATGATGAAAAGACTTGCCGAGGCGCAGTGCCAAATTGGCATTTATTCTAGTAAAAGAGGACAGACGATGCAATTTCTCTCTAAAAAAGAGAAATAGCGACATGCAAAGTACAAATTTGCATCCTAAGTATGCCATGTAAACCGTAAAGCTCGCCGATTCAATCTCCCTTCTTGAGTGGAACGTCCCAACCGGGGTTCAGTGATGCTGCGGATCAGGTCCTCCGGGGGCAGCCCGCTTCGAGTCGATGTTCCACTCCATCTCCTCCTTCCTCTGCACGTAACCTATCAGGACTTGTTTCGCGATCTCCACCCTTGTCCTGCCTCCACTGTTTGACAATGCCTTGGGCGTTCTTGCTTCGTTACACGAAAACGCAAGTAGAAGCATCGCAAGGCAGAGCCAGGACCTCAGTGAAGCCATCTAATCTAAGCCGAATTCAGTTTCTTCTCAGCTTAACTTGGTGAAGTGATGCACCAAGAACCGGCGTGGGGATGTATTTATATTGGTCATTATCCTGATACTATATTCGGAGTGGAATGTGTGGATCCGCATGAAACCGATAGAGGGGCGGCACTTTTTTCGGTCAGTGACTCAGTGCATGCTTGTTTCCTTGTGATAAAAAAGAAAAGAGGGAGATTCAACGGGAAAACAACAATCAGTAGCTCTAGTTTCTTCTGAAAACCCTTATTTTCCTTGGCCTTATGCAATCTGACTTCAAGACATGATATTGAATTCAAATACCGACGTCGGTGGGAAACGGTGGATTCCCCCCGATAGCATATAATAATGCCAGGTGGCGACTTTCTGCCGCCAATCTTAGCAAAGGAACTCTCCTCTCCACCAACCCAAGTCTAATCTCAAACTCGAAAACATGTTTTTCTTACTCTCTTGAACCTGACGGAACATATATACCCTTGCCCCTTTGGTTGGTGAGCGAGCGAATGAGGAAACGTTTTGGGTTTGACATTCACACTCACCCATTCTTGTCTGTAATGTTTTGCCAAATTGAAGTGGTGTGTGCTTAGTCATCGCTAATGACTCAGTAGTCATGGCCGCGAGTCATGGCCGCATTTGTCCTCACTCACCCATCATCGACGTGGTGAAGTTCAACACCCCATTATCGCCTCAAAGCATGAACAGAATTCCATCCTAAATCTTTGCTCTGAGATTCTGTCGAGATTCAGAAGAAACCCTTTTGGTTTCGCTTTCCAAAGATATGAATGATGACACCGCCGAGTTTCTTTGATTTCTTGCTCTCAGTCTTTAGACTTTCTTACCTTAAGCCGCCATCTCTTTTTCCTCGGGAAAATTGTCCAAAAAAGGTCGCCGACCAATTTTGGCTCTGTGTAATAGGTTTAGAATTGTATGGACAATTTTCCCCATCTTCCTCCTCTCTTTTCACTTGTTGCTTTTGATAGCTCTAAATTTTGAGTCTTTATTTCCAATCGAATGAAGGAGTTTTTATTTTTCTGCGACGCCGGGGAAGAATTCCTACAAATGCTATTATTCACTAATGGAGAATTGAGAAAATGGATTGATACATAGAAATCATTCGCCACAATTCACTATTTTTTAGGGTACAAAGAAAATCACTCGCCATGTTAACAACTTATCACATTGAAAAATAATGTGATGCATCTAGAAGTGACTAGTATACGTTATTATCATTAGATTAGTAAATTCCTTTTTTTTTAGTCAAATAGATTAGTAAATTTCACAAGTGTGTTCCATGACGCAATACAAGACATCATCACACATGTTTATGCCCACGCCGACCCAACGTTTTCACTATTGTAATCGATGCGCATGAATGAATGAATTATACGGACCCAAAATGCTTTGTGAAAGTAGTGTGGCTGGGGCAGCGTAGCTTAGACAAAAACACATTAGAGGAAACGAAAACGACAAGAGTTTTGAAAGTATTGAGAGTTTAGAGACAGAAGAACTACTCAGTACGTGAGTAATTTCAGAGATTCAAGTCGCACAAATTGCATCTGAAAACGCTTGAAACGGCAGGCGCAAGTCAAAACTTAAATCCAATTGATCACGTCTGATCTCTATATAAAGTAGAGGAACGTGAAAGCCAGAAAAGGGGAGAGGCTAAACTTTTGGCCCAAATAAAATTTCAAAGCACAGGTGTCACGCCCCGAACCCCACGATGCGCAACATCCCTCGCAAAGGTTGAATTTGCTGCGACGTCCCAGGCCGCGTCGCCGACCCAACTCCCAACACAGAGCATAAGGCACATGCGGAAGCGATAATTAAAACACCCGTACAAAACGATACATGACCAAGGGTAACAGGAACGTCGAACAATTCAAAGCCTAATAATCAAGACTTTCATTTAACTTCAAAACATATACAATGTCCACTATACACTAATACAAATCGCCAAACAAAAGCGGGTCGACGGCCACTACTAACAAAATCCCTAAGTGGCCAAAGGGGCAGTCTAAGGTGGGGCTATAATCAAAAGGGTTACTGGCCCGACCTAAGGGAGGCTAAGGCTGATCCTAGGAAACTTAATCGGGATTAGATCCCGATGACTCGGACTCAGTCTCGATTATCTCATCCTCCGAATCCATCTACTCGACCTCGCCAACCTGTTCGGGTTCCGGCTCTATGGGCTCCGGATTCACATATGGATCGGGTACACCAGGCAACCTCTATCAGGAGTCTGAAAAACGGGGTTTAAACAACTATGAGACGAGTCTCAGTGAGTATGCCTCCTAAACCGAAACTAGGCTAACATGCACCTCCCGACAAGCAAATCAACACATCAACGGACAATAATGTCGATCAAATGACCTAGGCCCTTGAGCCCGGTTCGCTTACCTTGCTGACCCTGCAGGTTAAACAGTTCGACATAAAAATCACGGCACATACGTGGCACACATTTTCACACGTACGCCATATGCATGCTCATACTCAAAGTGTTCATCTCGCATGCCATTTACCGAGTCTTGCACACTCGCACACTGGCCAATGCATTCTTATGCATGCAAATGTCATCATCATGCCATGATTCTGGCTCACACTGCACACTGGCATACAGCTCATTTTTAATTAGAAATCGACCGGAAGGCCACGGCCCGAAGGCTCACAACACTCCACGGCCAGCGTAAAAACGCCCCAGGCCCAGTGTCTCTAGCCTGCTACAAAGTGCATGAGGCGCAACACCGATCTCCTTCTTACGAACCGGAGCCTGCTACAAAGTGCATGAGGTTGGTCGTCTTCCGGACATATTGGGCATCGTCCTGCTACAAAGTGCATGAGGACGGCACGACCCGAAGGCCAATAAGTGATCACACGGCACACTGCCAATTTTTATCTGAACCCCGCGTAAAACGCATCAGGGTATAATTAGGTGATCACATGCTCATGGAAGACACGCATTCTCGCACAATTTCGTCACATGCCTCACACTAGGCATACACAATGCGTGGCCATGCAATGTCGTATAATACAACATGAGTATTCAATTTCAGCACGGCATTTCAACAAACATGCGAAATCAATGTGCTCAAATAGCCAATCAATTGCCCATACTTATTCGCATAACATGCGCACTTGGCCAACTAGTACCATGTGGCCCAAAACATAATTTACGCACTTGGCAATAAACATTCACACCAATGATTGGCCAATCACACACCGCATTGCTCGAACACGAAATCAGGCGGCATGGCATTAAACAATTGAGCACGACAAAGTACCATTCAACCATCGAGTCGCTCAAACGAGGCACCACAAAATTTAACACAATCAAGCACAATTTGTACCCAAATCAGCCACTAATCAGTCCGAGAGAGAGAAAAACCGGAAATATGCAAAATCGGGTCCAAACTGGGCAGTTGCACAGTGACCGAAATCCATTTGAAATAAATGGTAAATCAATTCCAAAAATTATGAAATTTGGATATGTTGTACAAAACATCTCGATAAACATTTTCCGTGAGAACTAGAAACCCAGTTCTAACCGTAAACACCTCGTTTTGACACACAAAGTCGGACAAAATCCGATTCGCTCGGACAGCCCCTCAGGCCATCAAAATACAACTCATTCAGTATCCAAATCATTTTGGAAAGCCTTGAAATTTTTATATGTTATAGCCACAACTGTCCCCAATAATTTTTGTGAAGGAAGTATTTTGAAAATAGGTCTGGAAAAATTTATAAAAATTCGAACAGACCAGAAGGTCGGGTGAACAGTAAATCGGGCAGTTTCGTTTCGGTCCAAAGATGGACTTCTGAATGGCCTCAAATGATTTCCAAAAATTCCCAAATTAAAGTATGTTATACTTAAAGATGTTGGGAACAACTTTCATGAAGAAAACTTCTTCAGATTCGGCCCACAATGATCACAAAGAAAATAACAAAGCGCAGAGGTACAGTAAAATCAGTAATCCGAGAATCATTAAACTTGCACCATTAAGCAAATCCAGCTCATACAACCTCTAAACCAAGTCTCCACAGCCTTAAAACCATCCCTAAATCATCACCTTAGGTCCTTAAAATCACCACCACATCAGCCCAAATCAGCCCCTACTAATTAACCCCTAAAACTTGTCCAAAGTGCACATAATCCTAATTAAGGGTTAGGATTTCCACTCACCTATTTACGCTCCCCAAAATTCTAGTCGACGGGAACGGGCGGCCGATTGCCGGTAAACGGCGAAATCGGCAGCGGCGTTCCGGCGGCTCACGGCAGAGGTTCTGGTCGGTGAGGGTGGTGGCGGTTTGGCTGGGCGGCAGGCGGTGATGGCCGGCGCGTCCTCGCGCGGCGGCGGGGACGTGGCCGCGGCGGCTCTCCGGCGGTGCACGGCAACGGCGATCCACAGCGGGGCTGATCCGGCGTGGTCCTCACGCCTCACACGACCCAGAGAGAGAGATGGGATGGTGGTGGTGTACGGCGATGCACGGCGGCGGCTTGAGCGGCGTGCGACGGACGGCGCTCCGGCGGTGCTCCGGCGTTCCACAGCCGAAGAAGAAGAAGAAACGAGGAAGAAGGTGACCGGCGGAAATGGAGAGAAAGGAGAGAGAGAATGGAGTCAAAATTGGTCAAATAGTCCAATAATTCATGCCACGTGTCGCAATCCGGTACGTTGGACCATTTTGCCCTTTGATCCAATGGATATTATTCATTCTTACTCAATAATTGATGGGCCTTTTGTTCTTTCAATAATTCTGAATTTTCTTGATAATTATCCACAACTTAATCCCAAAAATAGCCCAAAATTCGGAACCCCAAAAATAGGCTATAAGGGCAAAATAGTAATTTTCCGGTCCCGGGTCGAAATTCCATTTTTCGACCGTACCGACCCCAAATATGTGTGGCCACTCAAAAATGACGTCGGCCTCGCAAAATAGTCGCAAACACCCATAGAATTTCGACATCGAAGTTCGGGTCCAATTTGGCGATCAAAATTGCTCAATTCAAAATTTTAGAGCCTCTTACTGACGGGTGGCTGTTTAGGGGTTACGCGTATCGACCTAGGGTCACTCGAGTCGTGACGGTCTCGATTACCGGGAGAACGCAAGGAATTATTGGTTATTCCAGGGGTCACGATCGTTCGGTTCAAGTTCGGGATTTGTTCGCCACTCATACTCTCGGTCGAGCGGAATCACCCGCAATCCGATCGTACGTCGTTGGCCAAACCAAATCCGTCACTTTCCTAAGATCGGCCCACACTGGCCCAAAATACTTCCCTGTCGTTTCTCGGAATCAGTGCCCGATTCGCGATCGGGTCCCCGGTCCACGTACCGTTTTCCTAGTTAGCCTTTCCCATTAGTCAGTATCCCGCGAGGGGCCAGCTCCGGGCGAGATGTACTAAAATCAGATGAGAAATAATATCCACTTCATTGGATCCCGGAAATGGATCGAAATTCAGGATGTTACAACAGGTGCATGAAAAACCTTAAAAGTTTATTGAAAAAAGTGCAAGCGAGTTTTAGTACATTCAAAAAGTTGCTCCTTTAAGTTGCTCAGTGAATACTTCTTTGTCATATTCTTTGCAGGGGTGAATGTGCCTGTTGTTGGTGGTCATGCGGGCATTACAATCGTCCCTCTGTTTTCTCAAGTACTTGCTTTTCCCTTCTTTTCATTCATTTTGAAATATAAGATGGATATTTGTCCGCAACACCTTGAGCGTATACGTAGGTAATTTGATTACTATTTCTCGCTTTATAGGCTGTACCCAAGGCCAATTTGGCGGACGAAGATATCAAGGCACCTACCAAGCGTACACAAGATGGAGGGACGAAAGTTGTGCAAGCAAAGGCCGGAAAGGGATCTGCAACATTGTCCATGGCGTAAGTGTTGAATTAGGTCATGAGATGTATAGTCTGAATAACTGAGTCGTTTTTTTTTGCTTAAACTAGAATTTTACTGCAACAACTTAGATGAGCGGTTCCATCGGCTCTGACTATGAGATGAAGGATCTCTCTCTCTCTCTCCATGTTCATCTGCACAGAAGCTGAAGTTTTTGGCTGGTGGGTCCACCGCCACCTGGTCTCTTATTTATTTGACAAAATCAAGAAGATTCTGCATCCCCGTATTTTGATATTTTAACTTTGGCGCGGTCTTAAAATTCATTTCGGTGGATTCAATTTGCATCTTTGGCAGGTATGCTGGAGCATTATTTGCAGATGCTTGCCTGAAGGACTTAAATGGTGTCCCCGATGTGGTGGAATGTTCCTTTGTGCAGTCTAGCATCACTGAACTTCCTTTCTTTGCTTCTAAGGTGATTGATTCACTGTGGAAATTCTTAAAAGAGTTATTTTTATGTCTGAGGGGGCTTTCACTTGGTTTGTGTGCTTTATTAAGAATATTATTAGGGGCCTGGGATGGTCTGGTTTGTCATCTCCATCTCGCTATGGAAAGTAGAAAGTCAAGCCTGTTTGTATTCAATAAAACAAGTGCTGATATTATCTTAACACGACTAAATGGAAAAGGCTGGATATTGAAACTTGGTCTATGTTGGTTAGTGTAATGATTCGTAGCTTGAACTCTCATAAGGTCTGCATTCGAGATACGCCTACTGAAGCCTGATGTTGATGGAGCTTCATATTTAAGCACTAATATACTTTGAATTGGACCCTGAAGTCAGCTAGGCTAAGCTAGTGCAAGTACATTATGTTCATTTTTATGTGCATATCCTTTCCCTTTTCGGAACCTTATCACTTTTAGCTGATCATTCTAACTTTCATTAAAAGCATGCGCAGTGAGTTGACTATTTGGTCTTCTTTGTAGGTGAAACTTGGAAAGAATGGCGTGGAGGAAGTTTTGGAGTTGGGTCCTATGTCTGACTTTGAGAAGCAAGGGTTGGAAAGCCTGATTCTTGAGCTCAAATCTTCTATTGAGAAGGGGATCAAGTTTGGCAATCAGTAACTTGGGGAACGAAAGACTGATCTTGTCACGCCCCGTACCCTACGAAGCGCTAACATCCCTACCTTGGTCGATTATGGTGCGACGTCCCAGGAAGCGTCGCCGACCCAACGCCCAACAGAGAACAAGCACAAGTGGAAGCAATTAAATAAACAACCCTGACAATAGATATAAGAGACAACGGATAGCACGACAACAATCAAACGCTGCTGAAAATATGCACACTTTATATTACTATAGAAATCCTTTTTACAATATCCATCGAACAACAAAAGCGAGCAGTACAAACAGTCAACAGCCACTAGGTCAAAAAGGGTAAGTGGCTAGGGTGAGTCAAACTAGGCCTACGAGAAGGACTGCAGTAAAAAAGGATCGATCCTCCCTATCAAGCTCTAGTCCCTCCTACGGCTCCCAGTCCGGGTCTGAAGACTCGGTAGGCTCCTCTGAGGAACTCTCCTGAGATGCGGACTCCTCTGAATCCATGTCGTCTGCGTCGGCCCTCACATCTTCGGAGTCCGGCTCTAACTCCGGGTCCAGGTATAGACCTAACTCCTCGTCAGACACCATCTCCTCATCTGATCCCAGCTCAGCAACTTCTCCGTCCTCATTCGGGTCTTGATCCATCGGTTCCGGCACCTGCTCCGGCTCAACCTCCTCATCCATAGCCTCTGGGTCCTCATACCATACTCTTGGCTCCTCTTCCATGGCTACGGGCTCGTCTGCTGCTGGAGGGTCCACGATCTCGCCATCGGCCATCTGGGGCATCATCACCCCGCCTATGTCTACCGGAACGTCGAAAGTTCTGAGCGGTCATTCGATGTTTCCGTCAGCGTCTTTCAGGCACCAGGCCACATACTCTTGCGCTTGGTAAAAATACTCATCCACATTCACATACACTACTGAATGATATCTTACATACTCCTCTCCATGCCCTGCTGGGTAAACTCTCGAGGTCCTATGGATCTGCGTCGGGATCCCAAAAAGAGGTGGCTGCCTCGGCATGCTCAGGGCTGGGGGTCTGAAATGTTGGGTTATAACAACCGTGAGACGAATCTCAGCGAGTATAACCCCTAAACCTAGGCTAGGCTAACATGCATTCTCCTGACCAGCAAAACAACACAATAAACAAACAATGACCTAGGCCCTCGGGCCCAGATCGATCATACAATTGACCCTGCAGGTTAGGCATTTCATAAAAATGCTCACAGCACATACGCGAACACACCGGTCACACGTACGCCATACGCATGTTCATGCTCATTAATGTTTGATTCGCATGCCAAACACCGAATCTCGCACACTCGCACATTAGCCCATGCACTCTTATGCATATAAATGTCATTATCATGCAATGTTCATATTGACTCACACTACACACTGGCATATAGCTCATTTTAATTAGAAATTGGCCCGAAGGCTCACAACACTCCACGGCCAGCGTAAAAACGCCCCAGGCCCAGTGTCTCTAGCCTGCTACAAAGTGCATGAGGCGCAACACCGATCTCCTTACGAACCAGAGCCTGCTACAAAGTGCATGAGGATGGTCGTCTTCCGGATGTACCGGGCATCGTCCTGCTACAAAGTGCTTGAGGACGACACGACCCGAAGGCCAATATGTGATCACACAGCACACTGCCAATTTTATCTGAACCCCGCGTAAAAACGCATCAGGGTATAATTAGGTGATCACATGCTCATGGCAGACACGCATTCTCGCATAATTTCATCACACGTTTCATTCTTGGCATACACAATGCGTGGCCATGAAATGCAGCACATTGCACCATAAGCATTAAATATAATTAGGCACCCAATCAATTTATGCCACAACAATCTGCTCACTTGGCCAATTAATACCGTGCGGCCCAATTTACAATGTGCACTGCAATAATCAATCTCAAGCCATCAATTGGCCAATCACATCCCACATTGGTCAATCACACGATCACACGACATGGCAATATTCAATTTCCCCAAAATTTGGCACAACAACCAGTAAATCAGACAATCCGGGCATACCCGGCAATTCTAGTCACCTAATCCTCAATCAGTCCCGGCTAGTCCAATAGCCCATTAATCAATCTCACATTAATCCACTGATTTTAATCCAGTAATTTTCTTCCACCAATCGATTCACCAATTCCTTCCAGTATACATTAATAATACCCAAACCAGTCCAGAAAACGCACTATCAGTCCTAATCCGGGTTTAGGAGGTACACTCACCTATTTCAACTCTACGACGACGAGGAACGGCGGCCAATCACCGGTGAACGGTGGAACCGGCGGCGGCGTTCCGGCGGCGACGTACGGACGGCGCGTACGGACGGTCGTACGGACGGCGACGTACGGGGGCGACGTAAGGGCGGCTGGAGGGTCAAGACGGCAGCGGCTCGGCCGTTCGAGCTCCGGCGCGGCGGCGGTGAAGCTCCGGCGTCCCTTGGCCGAGAGAGAGAAAACAAGGGAGAGAGAGAGAGAGGTAAGGGGACGGGTCGAGGGTGGTGGTGGTGGTGGTCGCGAGGCGAGGTCAGACGGAGCAGCGGCACCGGCGGACGGCGGCGGCACGGCGGCGGTCCGGCGAGCTCCGGCGGACGGCGGCCACACTTGGCCGAGAGAGAAACGGACGGAGAGGGAGAGAGAGTCGGTCGAATGAGGGGGAGGAGAGAGAGAGAGAAGGGTCAAAACCAGTCAAATATTGTGGCTTGGTGGGGGCCACTTGTCACAAATCCACCAATCTTGACCAAAATGCCCCTCATCCAAGGGCTCACAATAAACCTCATCCAATAATGCAAGGGCAAAAGGGTCATTAGCCTCAATTATTAGTCTGAAAATCAGACTTACTTAATCCAAAATTATCCCAAAATTCGGAACCCAAAAATAGCCTAGGGGCAAAATGGTCATTTTTTTGGTCCCGGGGCGAAATTCCATTTTTCGCCCGTACCAACCCCAAATGGGTGTGGCCAACATAATATGGCGTCGGAATCGCGAAAATAGCCTCTTAAGCCCTCGAAAATTGACTGCAAAGTCCTGGGGAATAAAATAATATTATTTTTCACTTCCGAGCCAAAATTCCAATTTTTGATCGAAACAATTCTAAATGCGCATGGCCACCCTAAAATGACATCGGCCTCGAAAAATAAACTCAAAATTAACGTCGGTGTCCCGAGGGGCAAAATCGTAATTTTTGACTTCCGGGTCGAAATTCCATTTTTCGACCGAAACTATTCCAAATACGCGTGGCCAACATAATATGACGTCAGATCCGCAAAAATAGTTGTACAAGCCCTCGAAAATCGGCACCGAAGTCCGGGTCCAATTTCGTGACTAAAATTCGCTAAATTTCAAATTTCAGGGTCTCTCACTAACGGGCGGCTGTTTAGGGGTTACGCGTATCGACCTAGGGTTGTCCGAGTCATGACGGTCCCAATCATCGAGAGAATGAGAAATTATCACTAGTCCCAGAGGTCACGATCGTTCGGTTCCAGTTCAGGACTGGTTGGTCACGTGCACTTTCGGTTGTGTAGAATCACCAGCGATTCGATTGTACATCGTTGGCCTTGGCCAAACCAAATCCATCACTTTTCCTGAAATCGGCCCACGTTGGCCCAAAATATTCCCTCATCATTTCTCGTGATCGATGCCCGATTCACGATCGGGTCCCTGGTCCACGTACCGTTTTCCCAGTTAGTCATACCCTACTGGTTAGTATCCCTAGAATGATCAGCTCTGGGCGAGACTTACTAAAATGAAATGCGAAATAATGTCTATTTTATTGATCCCGGAATTACATCGAAATTCGGGCTGTTACAGATCTCCCCATTTTTTTGGGTAAGCACGACAGAAATTTTGCATCATTTGTCGGTGTTGTATTCGTTTTTGTGGCCAATGGCACAAGCTGTACTTGAGGAGTAGGCTTCACAGAACCATATGACTTAATTGACCGGAAGACTACGAAAACTAACAAAGAATTTTCTTTCTTGGAGCAGCATAAAGTACTAAGCCGTTGCACTTTTACCAGTAAAAAGATTAGTTGGAAGGATCATGTCCGGAAAATTCTCTTGCCCAACTGCATATTACATAGGGGTGAGCAACTTGGACCGCCCAAACCGGGACCGGACCGGACCGGACCGGACCGACGAGTTTGGTCCGGTTCTCGGGACTATCGGTCCGGTTCCCGGTTCCTAAAAGCGGAACCGGTTTCCGGGCGGTCCGGTTCCCGGTTCCAAGGGGGAACCGGACCGGACCGGACCGACTATTTAATATATATTTTTGTCATTTTTTTCTTTAAAAAAATTAATAAAATGTGAACTAAACTCTAAGTGAACTTCATTATCATAAATTCATTGATAAAAAATAGTAAAATGTGAATTAAACCCTAAGTGAACTTCATTGACATAAATTTATTGACAAAAATTAGTAAAATGTGAACCAAACCTTAAGTGTTTGACAAAAAAAAAACCCTAAACTCTAAGTAACCGGTTCCTGGTCCTAGAACCAACCGGTCCGGTCCGCGGTTTCCAAAATTGGGAACCGGTTCTCTCGGTCCGGTTCCCGGTTCCACCTTGGAACCGGACCGGACCGGGAACCGCTCTCCCCTAATATTATTACAGGACCGAGCATTAATGGGTTTCTTGCCAAAGGCCAAGTACTGTCCCGAATGTTTTAACTCGTCTGACATTGTTCTACATTTCACAAAGCAACTATCATCACACACTTGAGGATAGAAAACATCAACAATAACAAAAGATCTTCCAACTTCATTTTTGCATTAGTGAAATATTAAGTGAATAATCTTACACTCACTTTCTTAGCACTTCAAAAAGAAATTAAGAAGCAGGCGAGGTATTCTTTACCAAATAGAGAGTTTTTCTCTCTTCTTTGGGTGCTAATAGAAACTTTAGGCAGAAATATTAAGTTATTGACAAATGATTGCTAGTGATGTTGAGGATCTGGTCCTCCTGGTGACGCTCTCTGTATCTCTGCTCCCATCCTCCTCCTACTGTACT